CCGTCGATAGTTTCAAGAATTAATGCACTCATTTACTGAATATTCTTTGTAAAAAAATAAAATTTAAATCAATTATTTATAGGAGATAAATATTATTATGAGTAAATATACCGATACCGGTATGCATTACTGACCACCTCCACGGCTAAAAATAGCCCAATCTCGCGGTCACTTTCCCTTTCTTGTCTCCTCACTGGCAAATGGGGGGGGCGTGGGGAGGGGTGTGTGATGATAGCTGTGTTTATTACAGGGGTATAAATCTCTTTTACGGTATGTTAGACAGGTTTATAATACATTTTTATTATTTTAATATACCGGTAATCTTAATTTGAATCCAGCTTGCCAAACGTAAGTTTCAGTATAAAATAATTAGTGGTAAGACCTTGTGAGTGGCTTACGATGTTTTCATCACCACTCTTGACACACTAAACCACAATATTTAAGAGGTAAGAATTTTAAACTTGGTGGTTTAGACGACCCCCTAACTTTGGGCAGATTTTTTTAATGTTCAAATTTCGTCTTATAGGCCGTGATATACGGTATCCTTTTTCCTACGGAGATCCTAAGAAAAAATGAAAGGGAAGATTTCCAAGCTCAACCTATTAGGATAAAACGTCTAATGGATGAAACTAGGGTTCCTCACATATTGTGTCCAGTTAAAAATCTTCAGGAGTGGTTAACCAGATTCCCTAATAGAGGCCCTTATGTTTTCTCATCAAGGGATGGTAAGAAATTATCTCCTAGTCAATTGACAAAATCCTTATCTCAATAAGTGAATCAAGCAGACCCTGGCAAGAAATTTTTGGCACATGACACTAGGAAATATGCAGGGTCTGTGGCCTTTCTGCGGCATATGAGTCTCAGTCAGATCAAGGAAATGGGCTTTTGGAGATCTTCAAAAACTTTCAAAGACAGCTATCTTCATCTATCTCTGAGAGATGCTTCAAATGTGGTGGTGTTGGGTTCCCCTCCCCCACCTAGTCAATCTGCACAACCAGGACCTTCTTCCTCATTAGAATAAAGTGAGTATCCTTTTTGAGTAAATTAACATTTTACCTTCCGGTAAATGTTCCTAATTTTGGAAATTTTCAAAATAGTTAATAATATAATCAGGACCTCAGTCAGCGAAGCCTTGTATGCAAAGTCACCTCCCTCTCCACCTCCTACTCGGGTATTCTTGCTGAGCGTCGCATTCAGAGCATTGAACAAAAAGCCGTTTTTTTCTAAAAACCAATTTTTGTGATATAGCTCGAATGCGACGTCCATAACCCACCCATCTCCACCCCTCGAGAGTTGACTTTTAATTACTGCTCTCTCTGAGGCAAGAGATGAGCTTCGCAGTGCGCATGGAAGCTGGATGAGGGAAGGACTTTGAAAATAGCAATTAAATGCCAGGTAGCGACGTGTCGTCCTAATATTACTTATTAAGTAATTATTAGATGTTTTAATTGCCTGTATGTTGGCCTGGCGAATTGGCTAGGAATTAACATACCTAGGTAGCATTGCTGAGCGTCGCATTCGAGCTATATCACAAAAACTGGTTTTTAGAAAAAAACGGCTTTTTCCGGGTTTGAGAGATGAAAATCAGGCGGATTTTCAACAAATTCTGAGAAAAATTTTCCAGCACCCGGAAAATTCCGGGGATGGGGGATATTTTTTCAGGTTCGAGATATGATACAGTATATACCGTAATGGCTAATTTCTGGAACTTCTGAGAAAATTTTTCCGTTACATGAAATCTCTCATTCCCAGAAGTGCTCTGCACCAATTGTTCCGGCTAACAGAGATATCACTGATTGATTTACTATATGAACAGGTTGGCTTGGCAAATTAATATTTGTCACATGTATCATTTTATCATTATTTAAGTATTTAATTTTTAATCTCACATTTCATTGAGTTATTTGGTAGGTATACTGCAAGTTAAATAAAAATTCTGGCAACTTTGCAGCAGTTGATTGATTGATTGTGGTAATTACATCCCTGGCGACACAACAGCTTGGGTCATATGTCGCCAAATTAAAAGAAAGGTTTAAAAGACTAAAATCAAATAGAGCAAGGTAAAAAACATAGAACCTTCATAAGAAACAGTCAAACGTTAATAGATAAAACTCAAAGCGTGTAGAGAAGGCCGGCTTCCTTCACAAAGGAGAGGACGTCACCTCTCACATTACCCACTCCCCTCCCCCTAGCACAAAAGAAAGACGGTAAGACCTGGCTCCCTTCTGGCACTGGGAGAGGTGTTTACTTCGAAGATATCTGAGACTGGGGCACTCCACCAGGTGTCAAACAGTCAATGGGACCAGATAGTTAACACAGTAGGGAAGGGGCACCCTCTCCATTAAAAAATCCATTAGTCAGCCATGTGTGGCCAATGCAAAGGCAAGTCAAAGCGGTCTCCTGGTGGCGTGACAGTCCCTGATATCCCCAGGTACCCAATGCATGGTGGATGTCGTGGAGCTATTTGTTCCCACAGCATCCCACCTGCATTGCCAACTCAACTGGATGACAGCTCTTATTACTGGCAGGTAGAGTGGAATGATGTGCCACAGAACGAGAAGCAGCTACTTTCACCACAGCATCAGCACACTCCTCCCCTTTTCCTCCACATGGGCCGAAACCCAGCAAAAACTTTTTTTCCGGCCCTGACGTTGGATGAGAAACAGCCACTGTAAAATATCTAGAATTTAGGGATGGGGCAATGACACACTAGCTAAAGCCTGAAGAGAGCTGCGAGAATTGCTGAAAACTAAAATTGCTGTGAGGTTGAGTAAAGATAATCTTGAAGGCAAGTCAAACACCCGAAAACTCTGCCGTAAAAATAGATGCCATAGTGGGGAGCGTACCGTCCTGACAGAAGTCAGGAAAGACTACCCCAAAATTCACCTCTGCATCCGATTTGAAGCCGTCAGTGTAAACAGGGATAGTTCCTCTGTGAGAGAAGGCATGCTTTAAAAAAAGAGAATGAACCACATAGGGAGGGAGTAAGTCTTTCCTTTCATTAAAATACAGACAAACTTGAACTTCAGGGAGAATCCACAGAGTGGCACGAGGGAACCACATGGGGCGTATCTAAACAGGAGGAAGACAAAGAAAACTCGTGGGAGGCCTGGATGTTGAGTGTAGTGTGGGGACATAGTCTCATCAACTACACAAGTGTTGGTTACAGACTGTGGAGGGCGCTGGAGGCGAAACCAACACCGGACCTGGAGATGCTGACGTCAAAGATCAAGGGGTGACTCACCAGCATCAACTAGCAGACATGGGATTGATAAGGACCTGAAGGCACTGGTCGTCAGGCACACCCCAGCATGATGAATATAGTTCAGTGTATTGAGTCTAGCCTCAGTGGCTGAGGAGTACACCTCACACCCATAATCCAGTTTGGGTCAGACTAGCATGTGGTAAAGGTGTAGCAGAGTTCCTCGGTCAGCACCTCAAGACATGTTCCCCTAGACTCTTAATAACTTGAGAGCACACTGGCAAGACTCCAAGGTAACGAATATGTGGCTGCCACATAAGCCCAAGAAACAGGTCTCTGTGACACACTGCACACGACAACCAAAGAGCTGTCGATCGGGATCTGGGTGAACATCTCGAAGACGACAGAAATACATAGCAGCTGTCTCCAAGGGAGAAAATCTGAAACCATACTCTGTGGTCCAACGTGAAACCTTGTCTCCTGCAAGTTGCATGCGATGTTCAGCCACTGGCATGCGAGAAGCTGCATACCAAATGGCCAAGCTGTCTACATAAACCACCTGGAATCGATGCTGCTACCCCATTTAATGCTATGGCAAATAGGGTCATACTCAAGACACTGCCCTGAGGAACCCCGTCCTCCTGAATATGTGGTGCTGACAATTCTGTGTTGAAGAGTGTTAGTGTTGGGACAGTTACAGATTTCACAGGAAGAGAAATGCAGGTCATCCCCCGCCTCCGGTACATGTCAGATAGGTCTGTATCCTAACCTAATGTGAGCAGAGACAACATTATGTCTGTGGACCCTAAGTCCACATTAACGATACTTGTGTGGACAAGGAAGAAAGTGATCATTGTGTTGGGTGGATATATTTTCGGCCCATTGACTATTCCTGCTATGGACTGTAGGGAGAAGAGCGGCTGAATGTATTCTCTTTCGGTAGGTCATGCTGGGCTTATATTTAGGCCTAAAAGATCCTGATTGGACAGCCATTATTTTGAGAATCAGTTATTGATTAATCTTAATTGACATATTTGCAAATAACATGTGTAATGCAATGTGTCTTTTACTTTTATCTTCAGTTAACTTTTTTATAATTTTCTGTGGATTTATTTTAATATTTGAGACAACTATTAATTTTGTTGTTACTTTTTACTTTCAGTACTTGTGTAATTTATGAATGAGATACTTTTTTTTACTGTACTTGACTTGAGTACATTGAACATTGGATGCTTTCACTTCTACTTGAGTAACATTTTGGCATTGTAATAATACTTTTATTTAAGTAACGAAATCCATTTTTCAGATATAAACTAGAAATAATTATTTCTAGTGTTTTATTATTTATCATCATAGTAATGAGTGAGTGAACTGGATGATTGAGAATTAATTTTGAATCAACATACATAGAAGAAAAAAAGCGTACAAAACGTTCAGATAACACATAAAACTTTGATTTACTTTGATACACTCCAGATCATTAAAATGTGTGTACAATATTAATCTATTTTCATTAAGTTATATTTTACTGTAGTACTTTGGAATATCTTTGTTACAGTATTTAAGTTATTTAATAAAAAGAGGCTGCTTTTTTATTTGATTACTACCTCCCTGCTGAGCCTTTATATACTTACTCAAAGCTGTGTAGCTACAGTAATTTAAATGAAATACTGTATGGTTAACATGTAATGAGGACATTTTTCTTTCTAAATAAAATTAGTCATGTGTTATTTTTAATGAGAATAAGATGATAAAGTAATAGCACCATAAGACATGTATGCTACAGTGCAGTATGTACCTGTATTCTTCTTGCCCAGCTGTGTCGAGGATATCCAAGAGACACGTTTCCCCGTCAATAACCACCTGTTTGCGATAAGAATCTTCTATTGTTGGGTCGTATTCATCAACGAAGCTGTGGAATAAATAAAGAAAATTTAAGTTAAAATAAAAACTGAAAAATGATGGCCTGATAATGAGACTTTTCTGAAAGAGCCATAGCCAAGCAGCTCTTGTAATACTGACTAGAGATGCAAAAATAAATAAAATAAAATAAAAATATGTTGCCTGGAATTTTTCCACATTTTTGTAGTCTCGTAAATTTACATTTTGAGTTGCTTCCATTACAAGATAACATTACAGTGTTTTTAGATAATTTATACATTTGCTGTATTTTCATTCATTTACAATTACTACTGTCAAAATTAGTACAGTGATCCCTCGGGTAACGAAATTTCGCTTAATGAATTACCTTCCATAAGAATCTTCATTTCGGTTAACGAACAAAAATTCGGTTAACAAAATTCTTACGAAATCATGTCAACATGTTTTCGCTTGCTCACCAGCTGGAATATTAGTCCGCCAATACAGTATTCGGTTCTAGGGCTTAAATTTGTTCCCAATTGAGTACCGTATTTTTCGGCTTGGAAGAAGCTACATCGTGGAAGACGCACCCTGATTTTGGAAATTAAATTCTAAAAATAAAAATTACGGGTTTTAGCCCACCTGGGCACACGTCACTGACCCACATTGGGGCCTAGGGGGCGAAAATGTAATAGTAATAATAATAATAATAATAATAATAATAATAATAATAATAATAATAATAATAATAATAATAATAATAATAATAATAATAATAAAATCAAGAGTGAGAAACAATATACCTGTATGTATGTTATGTTGTCAAAGTAAGAGAAACAATTGAGACCCTGCAGAAAGTCAGATCATCAACCTGGGACTTGGTCATATAGCAGCAGGGTCTACCATTAGACAATACATTATGCTTCCAATATCTTCCCAGACGGTAGTACCTCCTTGTTTGGTAAATTAGCTGCCTACTACCTACACCAGTGAAACCGCTGCTTGATATACTGTACAGCCCTCTTGGCACAAGTACACACACCTCTTTGAATATCATCACTTAGAACTGCTTATCAGTCGTCATTTTCATCAATTTAAAAAAAAAATCTGTATAAGAAGGTGAAATCTTTAATACAGCACTCATTTTATACACCTGGTCACCTCCACATCTTAGGGGCTGCAGTGTTTACATTCTTTCTCTTGTTTTTGTCGTTATGACAACGACGGGGAATATTTTCCAACAGTAGAAGGTAAGCAAATGTAAACATGTATATCAACATAAAACAAAAAATCTTTATTTAAAAACAAAATAAAAGTAAAAAAACAACTTGTTTTTTGCAAAACCAGAGACTGATTGGTTCTACATAATTATAAAACTGAAGAAAATAAGTCCTCCAATGTCGCCGTATTAAAATTAATGTAGAAAATTAATATGGCTGTTTTAATTAATGTTATTTAATGTTAATAAATGGAACAATGGAAGTAGCTAACAATTAAGGGTAAAAAAAAAGTGAGATCACGTATGTAAGTGAGCACATGTGTAAACATATCGTCATTACTCTACATAAGAATAAGAAAGCAACACTTATTTACTGTTGGTTTTAATTAATGTTTCTGAATTTCTTTTTGATTGAATTATTGTTTATGTGTGCAAATTGAACAATACAATTCATTAATAATACGAAGAATATTAAAACACATGAGGAGACAAGACGTCATTGTTTTTGTTGTTTACAAAACCAGTGACTGACTGGTTCTACATATAAAACTGAAGAAAATAAGACCTTGGTTGTAGCTGTAGTAAAATTAATATGGCTGTTTTAATTAATGTTATTTAATGTTAATAAATGGAACAATGGAAGTAGCTAACAATTAAGGGTAAAAAAAAAGTGAGATCACGTATGTAAGTGAGCACATGTGTAAACATATCATTACTCGACATAAGAATAAGAAAGCAACATTTATTTACTGTTCATATAGGTTTTAATTAATGTTTCTGAATTAAAAACAAAAATTCTACCCACCAGTGGTGGTAAAGTTGAAAACATAAGGACAGCCAATGTTGTTGTGTGTGTGTTTTTACTTGGATGATGAAGTTGTATTTAAATTTGGAAGATTTTAATTTTGTGGGGTTTTTACTGTCTAAATGGGTATCCAAATATGAGAGCCTACTGTACATAGGTGTCCAAATATGAGAGACTACATATAAAGAAACAAACATTCCTGCATTTGAGACCAGCAGACAACCTTTAGCAATTCCTCAATAGATGGCGCTGCCGCACCACTGCCATTAGTAAACAAACCACACAGCAGCAAGGGTTTAATTATTTTTTTTTTGCAATATATCAACAATATTAGTTAAATCAATAGTTTTATAGTACTGTATGGAGAATACTTGTCATTGTTAAGAACTGTAATGAGGTAACAGTCTTTGTATGGGGCTGATTTCAAAAACCTCTGCTACAACTCATCGACTAGTGTCCTGGAAGACGTATGGTAATTTTCGAGGTATATTTTTGTCATAAAAAGTGCGTCTTTTAAGCCGAAAAATATGGTAAATATCAAGAAGGTTGTGTTATTCAATAATTTTCCAAGTTTTATATTAAAAATGTTGTCATATTAACATTTATTTAACATAATTGGAGTATAGGAAACTAGTTTTTGGTGCGCCAATCAGCCATTTGACTCACCCACCAAGGTGTCAGTTTGTATCTCTGGTCAGTGGAGGTAACATCTTGCTTGTGGCTCTCTCGAACATAAACTATTTTTACGTTTTTACAGTACAATTATTGGTCATTCTGAAATTTATTTAACATATTGATAATATATAGCGCAGTGCAGTGTTGATTTCAATACAGTACTGTATAGTCTCGATTTACGCGGGTTTTGTTTAAGCGTTTGGTCATTTACGAGGTGCCTTGCCAGAGTGAAAATGCTTCAATTACGCGGTATATTTGGTCATTTACGCGGAGAGCGGCTGGAGGTCCAGACGCTCCACGCCATTTTTCATTTAAGCGGTCCATTCTCAACCATACAAGGAAAGCGGCGCAGTGGGGGGTGCGCATTAGGTCGCTGTTGCGTTATTGCTGACGTCATATGACGTATCGGACTGTGATTGGGCCACGCATCCTTACCACCCACGCATTCCCTCCGCCGCTAGCTGTGATTGGTCTAATGTTATATGACGTGGCCTGGCACGGGAGGGAGCGCCTGACCCAGCCGCGTCAGTCTCATTGTTCTCCTGTCGCCGAGTAAACTGTTCTCTATTGTGCTTGCTAATCTGTTCAACAATGGCATCCGCTGGACCCCCACCACCACAGAAAAACCTTGCATTACCTGGACCCAGCCACCCCAAGCCCAAGAAGATACAACGTGCCCTAAGTTACGAAGTTAAGTACAAGATCGTGCAAGATTTAGAAAAAGGAAAGAGACAAAATGATTTGGCGCGCCAGCATGGCGTGAACGAATCTACGATCTGGACGATCATGAAGGATGCCGCCAAGATTAAAGAACACATGAGCATCACAAAGTCTGCAGGTGCTTCAATGGTGAAGTACTGTCAGAATAAGGTGCTGATCAAGACGGAGAACTTGCTGATGAGCTACTTAATTCGTCAGGCAAGATGTAACGTGGAGGTCGACACGCGGGCAGTGCATTACTACGCACGTGAACTGGACGCATCAGCGGTGCGCAAGATGGGAATTGCAGAGCCCAAACCCTTCACTGCTTCCTCTGGGTGGCTGCAAGAGTTTAAGAAAAAGAACAAGATTACCAACATTAACATTGTTGGTGAAGGAGCGAGTGCTGACCGTGCTGCCGCCATGGATTTTCCTCCATTCTTACGAGAAGTTATAGAGGAAGGACAGTACACCAGGTGTTCAACATGGATGAATCCGGTCTGTTTTGGAAATAATTACCTTCCAAGACCTACAATGTCCAGTCTGCCAGCAAGTGTCGAGGCCGGAAATTGCAGAAGGAGCGCATCACCGTCCTGTTTACCACCAATGCCTCCGGTACCTGTAAGCTCAAGTTGTCGGTGATCCACACAGCCCGCAAGCCTACAAGAACATGGACATGACCAAGCTAAATGTCCACTGGCTAACCTCACATAAGGTGTGGATGTTCACTGGTCTGTCCCTCTCCTGGCTTGACGACTGTTTCATTCCCGACGTCAAGAAATTCTGCGCGCAAAATAATGTGCCAATCAACATTTTGTTGCTGCTTGACAACACACCAGGACACTCGCCCTTACTGTTGGATCGTCACCCCAATGTAAAAGTGGTCTTCCTTCCTCCCAACACTACGTCGTTAATCCAGCCCATGGACCAGGAGTTGACATGCAACGTTAAGGCTGCATTCTCCGCAAAGAATTTTAAGCTCCTGAACAACTGTACCAACACCAAGGATGAGTTGCGTAACCTTCTGAGTGGAACAGATAGCGAGAGCGATGACAACGAGGATGCAGAACAAGAGTTGGCGGAGCATGAATTGCGAGTTAAACAGTTTTGGAAAATGTTTAATGTCAAGAAAGCTGTTAATTTCTTGGTGGAGGCATGGGGGGAGCTGTCTGTGGCAACGATTCGTCACGCGTGGCGGCATGTGTTGCAGGGTATCCCAGATGGGAGGCAGAGTCAACCAGTGGCTGGTGAGGTTCAGTCTATTGCAGTGGCAGTGGACCTTGCAAGAGAAGCTGCACAGTGTGTTACAGCTGCACGCTTCTCCGAGACCACCAACGACGGGATCATGGAGGTAATCAGGGTTCCTGAGGTGACTGCCAACGAGATGTTGGAAGACGATGACGTCAGTGAAGATGCAGGTGGTGCAGCAGCCCGAGAAGAACATAAGTTAAAACATGGTAATGTAAAGGATGCCATCGAGTTTGTAGAGAAACTCAAGCTCGTCCTTTCCAACGACCCTGACGATCACCGCTATGAAGTCTTCGGTAACCATCTATTGCAAACTATGGAGCCGTACATCACGATGTATCACGACCACATCAACACTAACCGTCAGCGTAACATCACTGACTTCTTCGACTGCAACCCACCACAG